AATAATAATATATGGTCAGTGAGCCCCTTTCCTGAAGCGGAAGCTGAGGCAGGAGGGAAATGTGCTTGGGGGACATTTTACTGGGTGAGGTCTTTTCTGATAGGCTGACCTTTGCACTCCCTGACCGCATGGTCTGAGGGGGCAGGGTTTTGGCTTTAAATTAGTGCCAGCAGAAGCGCGCGCCTAATGGCGCATGAAATTTTCTAGTTCTATTTTGAGTCTAATCTGCTAAATAGGAAAGCCAAATAGCACTGTATACACCTGGGGGGGGCAGGAATGTTTTAGGAGTAAAACACTTTTTTCCCGCACTATTAGGGAGCAGGGCGGGTAGGTGGGGCTCATCAGCCATGGAAGGCAGCCCATCTAGGAGAAGGAAAACTCTGATTTCAAACTTCCACTGCCTTGCGGCTATATCCACTCATGGAAAAGGCTTCAGGAGATAACCTTGAGGCAAAATCCGGAGCCGGAGTCCTGTAGGCAGTTCATGTCATTCTGGCAACTCCTGTGATGTCGCTGGAACCAGTTGTATTGGCTCCTGCCTTTCCATTGGACTATTTCAGTGATGTGGAGAGGGTGGATTTGCTGCTTGGGTAAAAGCCTATCCTCCATATTATTTTACCCAGGCTTCGTGCTCTGGAGAGGACACTCCAGCTTTGCATACAGTGTCGAAATAACACAGGAAGTAGCAGTTACTGGTTATAAGTCTTTGCTCGTTTGGCGTAGATCATGACTCTAGGGACTACCTCTGACTGTGGGAGAAGTCACTGCACCTCACTAGGTAGGGTGAAAGCCAACAAGCAGATAAAGAACCCTGCACCATGCAACAATCAGAAGAAAACTTCTGCTCTAAAGCTGGGCACCTGGAATGTACGGACAATGACCCCTGGCTTTGCTGACAACCTGCAGAAAATAGACAATGTGCGCAAGACAGCTGTCATCGACATCGAACTGAGTAGACTGCAGCTGAACATTGTTGCCCTGCAAGAGATGAGATTGCCAGACATGGGATCTGTCAAAGAAAAAAACTTCTCATTCTTCTGGCAGGGAAAACCATTAAATGAGACCAGGGAATATGGTGCTGGCTTTGCAGTCAGAAATACTCTGCTGAGATCCATTGTTCCACCTACTGTGGTGAGTGAAAGAATCCTGTCTCTGCAGCTCCACTCATCAACGGGACCGGTCACCCTCATCAGTGCATATGCACCAACACTGTCGTCCACAACAGAAGTCAAAAACAAATTCTAGACGATCTGGCAGCTAGTATCAAAAAAGTCCCTGAGAGAGAGCCGCTGTTCATTGTCGGAGACTTTAATGCTAGAGTTGGTGGTGATCACAATTCTTGACCCACCTGTCTAGGCCGTTTTGGCATTGGGAAGATGAATGAAAATGGCCAACGCTTGCTGGAGTTTTGCTGTTATTATGGTCTTTGTGTCAGCAACACGTTCTTTAATACAAAGCCTCTACACAGAGTTTCCTGGAGACATCCAAGATCGAAGCATTGGCATCAGCTCGATTTGATCCTTCCTAGCATTACGATCACACGCAGTTACCAGAGTGCTGATTGTGATACTGATCACTCCCTGGTGTGTAGTAGAGTAAAACTGCAAACAAAGAGATTGTATCACACAAAAAAGGAAGGAAGACCACG